CATTCCTGCCTCCTGGGGTCCACACTTGGATACTCTTAGCAGCAGGCTCCTAGGGAGTCAGTGTACAGGTCTGGGGGAACAACTACGGGGAGGAACACGACACGGGAACCAGGACACAGGGATTGTGTCGCCTGCCTGGTGAGCCAGACGGGCAGGCAGGATACAGGGGCCGGGGGAGCAGGCAAGGGCTGGAGGAGGAGCAAGGCTGTGCTTCACACAGGGACCAGGCGGCCCAGGCTCCAGTCCTATCTCACTCCCTAGCTGTGTGACCTTGGGCAGGCCCCTTGGCCTCTCTGTGCCTCAGTTCCCATTCTGTAACACAGGATTGCTGGGGGATTAAATGAGCTGGTACGTGTAGAGCACTAAGTGCCCTCAGTTTTTGTCATTACCATTAATCTACGCTCAGCCGGGCTGTCCATCCAGGCTCATCCTGGCCGGCCCTGGGCCCTCAGACCCATCTTCGGGGGAATAGACAGCACCCCAAACAGCCCTCCCTTTCTCCTCCAGGGCTACTGTCCAGAAAGCTGCCTCGGGACCGCCTGTTCCCCGGCTCAGAGTAATGGGTTTCACATGGCTGTTCCCAGTGCCTGAGAAGTGGGCTGGCCTAGGATTTCCTCCAAGTCTGTTTCTCACTGGCTTCCAGGAGCTCGCCTGTCAATGGGGGTGGGGGTGGGGGACCTGCCTATGTCCCACCCCACAACCCCTGAGGGTGGTGGGCATCTGCGTCTGTGACCTCACTCTCCTCGGCCTGGGCATGCCAGGTACAGGGGCTCGATCCTAGGGGAGCTGCAGGACCTCAAGGGGTGCCCCCAACAGTGCTCAATGGGGACGCTGTGTCCCCGGTACTGTGAAGACCCAGTGGTACTTCTGCCTCTGGGTGAGCAAATGGGGAGCCCCCAGAGCAGCTGGGCAGTGTGGAGGGTGTGAGTCAGGAAGGAAGCCAGCCCTGCCCGGTGTGGGGCTCCACCGGGCATCACTGCTAGGCCCCAGCCTTGCAGGAACAAGGAGAACTTTGGGGATGACTGTGACAGGGTAGGGGGTGTCTGTGGAAAGGGCAGTTCCAGCCAAGGATCCTATTTTTGAGCAGACGGCTATTTTGGGAGCCCTGCCGCCCTCCAGGGCCTGTGGATTTTCCATGAAGTAATGGCCTGGGCCTCCCACTCCCTGGGCCCTGCTTACTGCTGGCCGCTGCACTGGTGGAATAAGGCCCCCTTTCACTGGCTCTGGAGGTTCAGTGTACTAATTGTGTGCACAAGTTTATCTGACGGGTGGGGAAGGGAGGGCAGAGAACCGACTGCCTGGAAGCTCTTACAATAAGTGTATTCTGAGAGGAGAGGGAAGGGGCAGGGCAAAACAATGGGCTCTCTGTGCAGCGATTCCCTCAGGGAGCAGGGGGTGGGAGCGGTATGGGCTAGGCCGCCCCCCACATCAGGGGGCCAGGGGGTCTCCTTGGTGGGCATGCAGAGGAGGGGGAGCCTCAGGGACTCCAACAGCCTGAAGAATCAGGACAAGGGGTCAGAGACACCCCTTCTGCTGGAGAATCTAGATCCCACTGTTTCTCATCTGGGATAAAGACAAGGTGGGCAAAAGGCATCATCCTGTAAGGCTCTTCCCTGGCATCTGAAAGGAGGGTGTGAGGGTGGAAAGGGCTGGGGGACCCCATTCCACCACTTCCCCACCGCTGCTCTGGATTGGGTGCCGGAGGGGAAGCAGGTGACGGGGAACCACGAGCCCACACGTACTTGAGCTCCTGGGCGATAGCGGCAATCTGCTCCACGCGGTCCTGGTGTGCGGCCAGGTCGCTCTCGAAGGCCTCATGCTTGCGGATGAGGGCTTTGATGTCCGACAGGGTGGCCGTCTCATAGTCCCGGTGCTTCAGCATGGCCTCCTTCCCTGGGGTGGGGCGGAGGGCAGGGGGTGCTTCGTCAACAGCGCCAGAGGGATGTCCAGCCAGAGGGAGGGAGACGGGGTGTGGACCCCACGCCCTGCCTTGCCGAGGATGGTGCCATGAAAGCTAGAAACTTCTAGAGCCTTTTTCCTTGCCCTTTGCAGGAATCTCTACGCCCAACTAGATCCTGGATGGAGCTGGGAGACACTGTGGGGCTGGTGGGCCTGAGACATATCCCAATTCAAGCTGTGGGTTCTAAACTTAGTATCCTTTATTGGTAGACGGTAAGAATTTGGGTTGTGCTACCAGGGCTGGAAATGTGGACACCTATCTGCGGACCGCTGTGATCTGGAGAAGCAGCTGGCATTGCAGCCGTGCCTCAGCAGTGGGGGGAAGGGGAAGTCTGAGTCAGGGCTCTTCCAGGAGCCTGACCCCTGGCACTTGGGCGCCAGGCCCCCTCGGGGTGGGAGTCCTATCACACATCTATTGCTCCACACTATCCTAAGGGCTTTCCATGTGCAGCGAGGCAGGGCCCATTGTCAGGCCCTTCCAAGGAAGGGAGGAACACTGCTATTAGTCCTGGAGCCTGGCTAATTATACACCCCAGGACAGAAGCTCAAGTGAGCCCTGCAAGCACAGTAAGGTACTGCAAAGAACCAAGGGGGAAACGCTGGCCGGGAAAGGTGGCTGGGACCCCCAACCCCTAAAGCTACCTCAGGCTACCCCTGGAGCGGCAGCTCAGAGACCCCCTCAGCTGGCACCAGAAAATCCAACCAACAGCTGCCTGCCTAGAGCAGGGGATGGCAGACAGCTTCTCCCCACCTGTTCTTCCTCTGTAAATGCGGCCAGTGCCAGCCCAAGGTTAAAACCTCGATGAGGGGATGTTGAGAAGGCCCAGCACCAGCCAGTCCCATCTGCATCTCAGCCACCCCGTGGACAGGGTCCGGCACTGGCGGACAGCAGGTGGCAGCCTGGGAGACTGACTGCACTGGCCCTGCCACTCCAGCCCCGGAGCAGCAGGCTCAACCACAAAGGCAAGCTTGCAATTCCCTTCTCCAAACTGCTTTCTCCCAAGGGTGGGAACCAGAAATAGTAGGTTACCACTTTTCTGCCTCAGCAGAGTTTCAGCAAAGGAGCTGCTAAGGGTGTGCTGGGAAGAATTGGGAGGAGGGGGCCACGGCCACGGCTGCCTGGGATCCAGGCCAAGGGGCAGCCAGGCTGAGGGGGGGATGGGGTCTCATTTTTGCTTTTCCCCCAGACAATCTAAGACCCTGTGAGAAGCATCCACATGGGTGCTCACTCCTGCAGGCTGTAGGGATGGTGAGGGGGCACAGAGTGATGGTGGCTCAACCCGCCCTCTGCCCCCCAACCCCCCCACAGGTGAGGAGGCTGCTACACCCGGCTTCCAGGGGTGTACAGGGGTCGGGAGGCTGGTCTGTCCTCCTGTTTTGCATAATTGGGTGGTTCAGAGGACAGAGGCTTCAGGCCTTGGGAATGAGAGTGGACAGGCCTGCCTGGGGACTCCGGGCTAATGCAAGGGGCAGGGGCGTGTGGAGTTGGGCCCTGGCTAAAGACTGGGCCACTTCTCCTAAATGCCTTCGGGGGAAGGCCGGCCAAAGTGGTTCCCAGGGAATGAGCTCTGGTGGGCCGTCACACCCACACCCCTCGGCCTCAGGAGACTACCTTCTCAGGGCCTCTTGGAGCCCCAGGAGACAGGCTGGAGGGCTGATAAGAGGCCCCCAGAAGGGAAATTCACAGGGAGGACACTCGGAGCCCAAGAAAGGATGATGGAGCTACAACACGTGGATAATGACACAGCTGAGGAGACAGCTCAGTCCAAGCGTGGGACACGGGTGTTGTAAAATCCACTTACATGTCCAAGGGCCCTTTGACAAGATGTCAAAATCTGCAGTTCCCTGGGCAGGGACCTCACCTACCTGGAAACTGCTGAGCATAGCGAAGAGGCTCAAGAGGTGTTTGTTGAATGAATGAATGAATGAATGAATGAAGAACGAATAAACTAAATGCCAACACCCCCTCCCTCAGGTCTGCGGGGGGCAGAACCCACAGGCGCCATTTCTGTGAGGCAGAGGGAGGTGCCCGCATCCCTGGCCCAGGCTACCTTTTGCTTGTCTCGCCTTCTGGCTTCTCCTCCTCTGCATTCCTTCCCTGGCAGAGGGGGGATCAGGGTATTGCTCTGGATCTGGAAGCTGCCGTTGGAGAGCAGCTGGGCTGAGCTAATGTGGGGAGGGCATTAGCCAGGCTGCAGCTGGGGACACAGGTGACACAGGCCCAGGCCTGCGGATCCTGCAGAGTTGCATGTCCGCATGCCGGCAAGGGTGGGGCAGGCTCCGTATGGGTGCCTCTGGGTGGGTCTCAGCGACTGACCAGGGTTGGGGCTGCCTGCCAAATAGCTGGGTGGGCGGGGCCAGAGGAGCCCCCAGGGGCTCAGTGAGGATTTCACGGGGACCTGGGAGGGTGGGAGGGATGAAAAACCACACTGACCAATGCAAGGAAGTGTGAGACCAGCTAGGCAGAGTGGTGGCAGGAGGGCCAGGGCAGGGAGGGCAGGAGGCAGCCAGAAGTGGGAGGGTGGGAGCCCAGTGGAAGGCGCTCGGCTTTCCCAGGCGCTGGCCGTTTCCCGAAAGCTTTTGGGCCCCTGGGATCCGGAATCTCAGCCGTGGTGTGGGTCCCGATCGAGGGCCAGGGACGTGATGGAATTCCACATCCCGAGCCAAGGGAACAGGCAGCTGCAGAGCTGCCGAGAAACCGGAGTCACCGCTGCCTTTGTGGGAGAGGGCCCTCGGGGGAGGCACCAGGACAGGGCAGAGGTGAGAAAGAGCTCCCACGGCGGGCCACACCGAAGGGTGCGTGGCTGGTGGTCAGTGAGCAGCAGGTGCAAGTCGGGCAGCAGGGCCAGGAAGCGGCTCCCTGGCCCGTTCTAAGGACCGTGCTCAGGATCACAGACCATCCAGCACTGGCTCTTCAGTGTGAAGTCCACAGTCTCAAAGCATGCTGGGCACGGAAGGCAGGGTGTGAACCCAGGCTGCCAGAGAAGGGAGAGCATACCCCCACGCCCACCCTGGCCTGGAGGGGCGCCATACTCAGGGGAGATGTGGCAGAGTGACAGGGACAGGGGCCACGTCCCTGTGCAGCTGGCACAGGGTCCAGTGACCCAGGAAGGAGTCCACCTGTAAGTAATCTCTGAGGCCAGGGCAGATTGGGTGGACCTGGCCCGAAACTGTTCCTTGCTGCCTGGGGCTGGATGAACCCAAAGCGGCATTTGTGACATGCATGTTCCCAGGCAGCAGGAAAGGGGGTCTGACAAACAGACGCTATGCAGGCAGGAGGGGGGTGTGTGTGTGTGTGTGTGTGTGTGTGTGTGTGTGTGTGTGTGTGTGTGTGTGTGTGTGTGTGTGTGTATCCTTCCCCAGCACATGGCCTGTGCCAGGCTCACCGCCACTGCCTTCCAGAGGGGGGTCAAAAAGAGACCCAGCCCATGCCCGCAAGCCAGACTCCACCCAGCCTTTTTCTGTTCCTTCCACCCTCAACACCAGATATAGCAGGTGCTCAATAAACATTTATTGAATTAGTGATTATTTGTATGCCTCTTTATTTACCCACTAAAGGAAAGAATCTGATTATAAGCCTCCCTAACCCCCCAGCAAAGTATTTGCTAAACAGAATGAACAGCAGCCCAGCCAAGCCTTGGGGGAGACCTTGTGTTTGGTCCTGAGGCCACTTTCCCAGCCCTGCGAGCACATGCCAGAGGGCTCCCAGCCCCCAGACACACCCGTACACGATGTGCTGCTTGGCCCTGAGACCCCACCCAGCAGAATGGACATTCTACCCCACTCCACTGGAAGGTGTGTGGGTGTGTGTGTGTTTGTGTGTGTGTGCGCGCGCGCATACACATGTGTGTCTCTGAGAGACAAGAAAGGAGGGAGGGAGCTGGGAGGGTCATACCGTCGGTCCAGGCCTCGTGGATGGAGGCCTTCTGCCGGAACTTCTCTGCCAGGTGGTCGAGCCGCTCCAACCTGCGGATCTCGTTCAGCAGCCACTCCTCATAGCCCTTCTCGGCCTGCTCCAGGTGCTGCCAGCCGTTGTTGATGTCCTGTGGGGGCAGGAGAGGGCAGGGCTACCACAGGGAGCTGGGGCACGCAGCAGGGCAATGCATCACCTCCCTGATGATGATGGGAAGGCAGCAGAAATGTGCCGGGGTCACATCTCTCCCCGGCTTTGCTGTATCTGCGTGCCTGGACGGGGCCCAGCACATGGCAGGTGTGGTCAATACTTTTGGAGTAAATGAATGAGTGAAAATGAACAAATGCCATACGGGGCACTGGGAGTCAGAAGGTGACTGTCCAGTGAATATCGTCCCTCCCCTGAGAAGGGGCCTCAAGCACTGGAGGTCCTGGAGTCACAGCCAAATGAGAGTCCAAATTCAAACAATTCCACACGAACTATGGTGTGGTTTGGGGATGGGTGTAACACCCTGGGGAGTGATGGGGGGGAGAAGGAATATAGTAAAGTGTCAAGCGCACGCCCCACCACACTCTGCACTCCGAAAGCTGTGCATTCTAGTTAAGAAAGACCATGCTGGGGAAATAAGCCTGTGGGTGGTGAGCAGCTGCCCCTCAGCCGTCCCCTCCCAGGGAAGCTGCAGCCCCGCACACCTCCCGGGCCCGGGCCCGCCCTCAGCCCCCCGGCACTCACCGACACCATCCTGCCCTCGGAGGGCATGAAGGCCGGCCGGTTGCTGAGGCGCAGCTTGGTCTGCAGCGTGTTGAAGTTGATCTCCAGCTGGCACTTCTCCTGCACCTTGGGTGGCTTATGGACACGCCGGTAGTCGCGGAAGTCCTCCAGCTTCTGCTGCATCTCCTGGATGGTCTTCTGGGGCACGCGGTCCTCCAGCCAGGGGATGGTGCGCCGGATCCACTCCAGGAGCTGGGGGCCCACAGGAAGCTGCGGTGGCCTTTGCAGGGGACCCTCTGAGCACAGATAGGGCTGCCCCCGGCTCATGGGCACAGGGGACCTGGATCTCCGAGGGTGCCATCTTGGGGAATCACCCCTGCTCCCCAGCTCGACTTCTCCATGATTCCCGATGGGAATCCCACGACCAGGAATTCTGGGAACACATGCCCCCTCTGAACCACGGGGCTGTTCTCTGGCTACTTCCTGCTCCTGCCTTTGCTCTTGGCCTTCCTTCCCTCATCTAAGCGGGGCAGCCTCAATTCAGACGCCCCTCCTGGATGGCCGCCCCCACTGCACCCCCATGAGAGCCCACTGTCGCCATCTGCACCGAGCTCCACACTGAGAGCCTCACTGTGTCCTGGTCACTGACTGTAAGCGCCTCAAGGGCAGGGCTGACTGCACGCCTAGCTCACTCTGGGGTGGTCAGTGCCATGCGCAGGGCCTGGGACACAGAAAATTAGAAAGTACAACTGAAAAAGAAAGTGACCTGTATGAGCCACTCATGTCTTTGATGGAGTGAGACCAGGGTACAAACAAGCAAACAAACTGGACATTCTAGAACAATCCTAGGAGAGGAAAATCGAGTATTGTCCAGCATAGATAGGCCCGGGGAAGTGGTTCCCAAATGCCAACCTCTGGCAGGATGAGAAAACCAAGGACAAAGGTCTCCGTGTGTGTTGACATCTTGGTGCGTGATGCTAACTGCCCTCTCTTGTGAAGGGCTGGGATCCTAAGATATAACCTTTTAACCTTTCCTAGGTGTTAGACATGATGGTGGTAACAAACGGTAGCTTTTTCTTTTAAAAATATCCTTAACTTGGCAAAATAAAAAGTTCACCACTCTAGGTTGGCTGGCAAACACTTTCCCAAATTTTCCTGGTCTGTGAAATCTTGAAGTCTGGGAACCACTGGTCTAGAAGAGGAGTCAAACTACTCCTCTTGGGGAGCTTAGATGTTTTTATTTTTTTTAATGTGGAAATTTTAAAAATAAAGGGGAGAATCTAGAAGAGATGTACTAAACACCCACATTCCCAACTGACGGTCTGGGTTCAGGTTCTGGAGCAGGGCTGCCTGGGTTTGAACCTCCGTCCCACCAAGCCGCATGGTGGTGGGTTTGTGCCTGACCCTCTCTGGGCCTGTTTCCTCACTTGGAAAAGGGGGTAATAGGAGTTGCCCCTAACAGGGCTGGTGTGGAGATGGTAGATCCTGTTCCTGAAGTGCTTGCATGGGGACCTGCCATGACAAACTGCTGTCCTGTCACCATATCAGCTCTCGGGTCTCTCTCCATCCTATGGAATCAGTCTCTCCACAGGTGGGGCATGGGAACAAGAATGTTTAAAAAGCTCCCCAGCTGATTCTAATGCAGCCGGGTGTTCAGAAAACTCTGTCCTTGAGTTATCTTCTGTAGAAACCCAAGCTCGAGACCCCAGAAGCCAGCCAGCATAGTGCCACAGCAGTCTGACCCCTTAGTCTTGTAAAATCAACCCGAAAGGTCACATACTGGCTTGGTCAAACTCCACAGCCTATATAACCTTACGACCTTTTCTAGAAAGTCTCGCTGCCATCCCTGCTCTCCCCTCTGCAGATGTCCCATGACCTTTGGCAGAGAGTAACAAGAGGTGACCTAATCTTTCAGCTCTGGCGGAGCCACCAGGGCAGGGGGGAGTGACACACTCACATCGCTGGCCAGCCTCTCATAATCTTCCATCAGGTGTTCATTCTCCTGGTTGACAGCCAGCACCTTGCAAATCCGGTTGGCGGCAGTCTCAGCCTGGGGCAGGGGAGGCGAAAGCACACAGTCAGGGCTGCCTGGGGGCTGCTGACCCTCCCTCCTGACAGGCACGTCCCCTGAAAGCTGGCTCATCCATGGCCCACACAGAAGTCCCCAAGGAGGGAAGGAGAGGAAGCACAGCTTCAGCAAGGTGGGGTCCTGAGTGGCTGTGTCCCGACAGGCCTTTCCGGGGTCCCTAAAGCTTACTGCTGAGGCCCCCGCCAGGGGAGCTGGGCCTGTGGGCTCTCTTGACTTGGACCGTGGAGGTGCTGAAGGGGACTAGGGAGCTGTATGCCCACCCACTGTGGGGGAAATGGACTCACAGGCCCTCCAAGAGGAGGGCTGCGTGAGGCTGGGTAGGGTCCTCCGCTAGGCTAAAGACCCTCCCCTTGGCTGGGAAGGGAGACCGCGGGGGAGGCCGAGTGCCAGAGAGCTGTGGCGGCGGGCAGGGGGGGCGCTGGCGCCCCCCAGAGAAGTCTGGTGGTCAGTGCGCAGGCAGAGCATGCCCGGCCCCTTCCTAGTCCTCCCCTCGAGGAGGCTGCTGAAGGCTCAGAGGGCGGAAGTCATGATCCACAGGGCGGAGGGGAGCCAGGGCTTCGGAGAGTAGGGAGCAGTGCAGACAGTGACTAGTCTCTGCCCAGAACTATAGGACAATGTCCTGCTTTGTCCTGCTGGGGGGAAAATGCAAGGACAGGAGAAGGAGGGTGAGGGACGCCACACAGAGACCAGGTACCTTTCAGGAAGCACAGAAAGGGTCCAAGAAGAAGAGTTGAAACGGCAACAGAACAGGAACAGAAATAGTGAGGAGGGTCTACAGAGTGGCGGGGAAGGAAAACAGAGAGGCTTGGGGATGGCTCCAGACCTGGCTAGCTGCAGGCACTGACGCCCAGCCTCCCACTTCCACACGCTGCTTCCGGGACAGGTGGGGAGGTGAGTGGGACCAGCTGAGAGTGGTGTGCACGCGCGCGCACGCACACACACACACACACACCCTGCTTCATGCTGCAGGACACAGGCCAACGGCCACAGGCAGTGCTCCTCAGAGGTGAGGTTCACGAGGGCCTCGGCCAATGAACACCCAGCCCCTAGTGAGTGCAGGAAGCAGAGCCAAGATCACAGCTTGCGGGGGAGTCGCGGAGGTGAGTCCCTGACCCCAAATCTGGAGAGACAACTGGCACCCCGAGCTCAGCTCCACCGTGCTGTGCAGGCCCGCGAAGGTGAGGGCTGATGGTCACAAGTATTTTGGTTCACCGCTGAATTCCTGGCACCCAGCTCAGGGCTTGGCGTGTTTGAGGTACTCAAGAGTTGATGAATGAATGAGTGAGCAAAGGAACAAGGAGCAAATGCTTTAGTGACTAGAAATAAACTATCAGGAGAGAACGGGCAAACTTGGTGCTAGGGCTAGGGTTGCCCTTGCATTCATGAAACAAAACAAAACCCAGAGAGCACTCTTTTAAGAGACTGGATTGAGCCTCTGGGGAAAAGACAGCCACAATAATAAAAGCATTACAAGGATGTCCTGGGAAGTAAACACGGGCCGGGGGAAGCTGGGCTCGTAGCTGGAGAGGCCTGGATCCTGCATGTCCCTTGGTGACGGGCAGCTCCCAATACGCCGGCCTTTATTTCCTCCCTCACGAGAGGGTCCCAGCTGCCTCAAAGACTCCCAAATGCTCTGACCTGGGCTTTCCTGCCAGGATCCCCTCCCACAGATGCCTCAAGGCCTCCGGTCCCCCACACCAGAGCTCAGCTCTAAGCATGAGGGGGCAGTTTGGGCAGAGAGAAGACACTCCCTCGAGGGCAGTGTGGTGGGCAGCGAGGCTGGCTTGGGGCCGGTGGAGGGGTGAGGCCGACACAAACGTGCTGTTAGTTGGGGTTTGTGGCGAGGAATCTCCTATCACCGCCCACCCCCACCCTGCCTTCCCGCTAGGGTGAGGGGTCCCCTCCACTCTCCCTGCCTGTGCCCCCACCACAGAACACTCCTAACACGAGCTCCGACCACCTGCCGCGGAGGTGGCACGGGAGGGAGGCAGAGGCGGGCCGCTCTGACTGCCGGGCCGCGGGCGGGGCACTTAAGGGGCCAGGCACCGTCCTGAGCTCTTCACCCGCGTGAGCTCACTTCATCCTCAGGACAGCCCTGAGACGGGCACTAGCCTGCTCCACGTTTTCCACGTGGGAGAACGGAGGTGAGGGGACTTATCCGAGGTCACACTGCTGAGAGGCAGCCTGAGCAGACGGCCTGTGGGAAGGCACCCACTGGCCTTGAGGCTCTGAAGGAGGCAGCAAAGTCCCCGCCCCGTGACTTCAGTGTCCTCCTCTTGTAAATGGGGATAACGGCACCCACCCCTCCCGGGGGTGTGCAGGGGACTCTCAGAGCCTGTGCACGTGGAGTCCTTGGAGGAGTCCCTGGCGTGCAGTAAGTGCTCAATGAATGAGAGCTCATTTCTTCTTGTTCTCCCTGCCCAACTGCCAACTGTGACACAAAATCAAGCTGCTGGGAATACACCGCTGGCCGAGACCAGACACCCAGGAGGCAAGTGGAGGGGACAGAGCCGGCCAGGCCTCCACGTGGGGGCAGCTGGGCACCGTCCTGTGGAAGCAGAGGGCTCCAGACAGGCACAGCGGGGGACACGTGAGGTCAGCCAGGCTCAGGGAGGGCCGCTCCTGGGAGCAGACACTTCTGACGGCCCTGTGTCCGCGGGGCTGCTGGGGACAGCGGCCTGGCGATCTGGGTCAGCAGAAGCAGGCCCAGAGCCTTTCCTGGGGCCTTTGGGAGGGGACGGAGCTGCAGAGAGGGGCAGCAAAGCCAATGCTCCGGGCGAAGGCACAGCCAGCACAGCAGGCAGGTGGCCGGCACGGATCACGGAAAGGGCGGGGTGGCCGAGCAGAGGAGCACAGGCCCAAGCTGCGCTCTGCCATCTAAGGTGACGCTGGGATTCAACTGCCTTGTCTGAGAAACCGGGATGCCACCACCCATCTCACAGAGTGGGCTGTATTCACAGAGAGACTACCTGTGGCGTCTCGACACTGGGCCAGCACTGGCTCGGCGGTGGCAATGGAGGCCCACAGTCACAGGAACCTGCCAGACTGGGTCGGTCCTCAGGCCGCAGCCCGGGCAGGGGGACGTGGGGGTGGACGGGTGGCAAGGGCGAGTCTCCAGCCACAGCAGTGAGGGTGCTCCCGCCCCAGCTCACCTTTTGAGCCCCCGAGAAAGCGTGGTAGAAGCAGGACACGTAAGTCATGATGGCTTTCTCATCTGGCCTCAGAGTGCCTACAATATCTGCGCAGAGAGAGAGAAAGAGAGAGAGAGGCAGGAGAGAGTGAAAGATGCAGGAAGGCTGGCCGAGGCCCGAGGTTCATGCGGGAGGAATAGCGCTTGCTCTGGACTGGAAGCCAGACCCTGGTTCCGGCCTGGGTGAACATGTCTTGCCGAGGTTTTGTAGAGGGGAAGGGGGAGGGTTCGAATAAGATGGATTCCTCTTCGAACCAGGCCTGAGTTTGTGAAACACTAGCCAGGAAGTCTTGTTTAGGGCTGGAAGGATCAGGTGTTATTTGATCTTCCTGGAAACGTAAGTAAGATCATGTCCGGTATGACCACCTACCACCTTAGCATAAACCCCCAGTGGTCTCCTGAGCCCCCAGAATAAAACCCAAACTCCAGATCCCAGACTACAATGGTCCTCCACGGCCTGGGCCTGTCACGTTCTCCGACCTCATTTTCCTCCCCTCTCCTACTCTTCTCCAGCCATTCCTTGAAAAAGCCATGCTTATTTACACCTCAGGGCCTTCGCACTTACTCCCCCTCTACCTGGAACACTTTTCCTGCCTATCTTCACCGGGCAGCTCCTGCTCACCTTGCCTCCCCTGACAGCCCCAGCGAAGCAGCCCCCACGCTTCCCCATCCCACCATCCTGTCCCATTCTCTCGACTGCACTTCTCACATGAAATTACTCTGTCTGTGGACATGCCTGTTGTCTGCTTTGCCCACTAGAACGTAAGCTCCATGAGAGCAGGGACCGTGCCTGACTCAGTCACTGACTGTATCCTCAGTGCCTGGAACAGAGCCTGGCACAGGTCAGGCCCTCGATAGACAGTGTGGGCAAAGACTAAATGGGCGGAGGTGCCAAGGAGTCGGGGGGTGGCTTCCAGTCGGAGAGAGGCCGCTGCCGTCTGCAAGAGAAATGAGGTGAGCATGGGAGGCAAGAGGCAGCAGCGGCATTGGGCAGTGGCAGCGAGGTGGGCCTGCCTGGCCCTGCCCGGTACCTTCTGCGCTCCTGAAAAGGCATGGTAGAAGCTGGACACATAGGTCATTATGGCCTTCTCGTCGGGCCGGGCCGTGTTCACGATGTCTGCAAGTGAACAACAAGGGTTAAACCGCCCAAGCAGGGGCGGGTGGGGCGGGGGCGGTCACCCACTGGATCCATAGGCTCCCAAGGCCACAGCCATCCTGGGAGAAGGACCCTCAGAGCTGATTCCACGGCCCTTGGCGACTCCAGTGGGCTTGGCTTGGCCACACCCTTGGCCCCTCCATCCCCCTTGGTCACTGGAAAGGCCAAGCCTGTGGGAAATGGATTAAAATGAGGCCACTTCCTCTCTCTGAGAGTGGCCTCAAGGGGCTGCTAGACGGTCAACCGCAAAGGCCACCGGAGGCCAGAGGCATGGGTCCTGGCTGGGGGTGGTACATGGCTGGGAAAAGGAAAAAACACTCCACTTTGGTGGGCTCTAGACTCCGAGGCTGCGGCAGGCAGGGAAGGCAGAGGCCTTGGTTATTTGCAGGAGTCAACCCTCCTGGCGACCTCCCTCGCCCCTCCGGAGGGAGGGGTGGGATCAGTCAGGAAGGCAGGGCCCCTGGGCCCAGCCCAAGAGGCAGAGTCCCTGAGAGCTGATCCTCTTCAAGGACCTCTTCCCCACCACCTGCATCCCTGGCTGCTCAGGCTGCTCCTGCTCTGGCTCCCTGGGTGACACCACTGTCCCCAGTTCATGCCGATTCATTCAGGCATTCTGGCTGGCTCCACCAGCTCCCTGAGGCTACCGCAAGACATGCCCACAAAACAGGGTGCTGACTGAACAAAAGGGATGTACTTACCCTCTGCATCCAACATCTTGGGGATGTCTAGGTACTTCTCAGCCACTTCAAAGGCATTGTTCAGGTTGGTGACGGGGTCGTCCTGGGGGAGGGAGGTGAGGGAAGGAGGAGAAACTTGGTCAGGGGCAGGATGCACAAGCAGAAGGAACAAGGGCTGGCCCGGAAGGGAGGGAAGGGCTAGGACTGGAAAGGGTCCTTCAGGCAGTTCTCAGCTACCTGTGCTGCTGCAGGGATTGGTGCGGGGAGCGGGGACACCCGGGTAAAGTCAATTCCTACCCAAAGGAATGCCTCTGGAAATCTTTGTGGGGCAAACTGTGGGCCCTTTCTCCACAGACAATGCAGGCGTGCTCTTTTCTTAGAATTTCCATCCATCCCCAGACCCCAGATTAAGACCCCTGCCCTGAAACCCAGACACTGTGGTCCAGACCTGAGAGAGCACTGGGCGTGGGGGGTGCGGTAGGGAGGGAATGGAGAGCATCCACGTTCTAACCTCCCTACTCTAACTGCCCCGCTGCTTACAGGATGAAAGGCACTTCACCCTGACCCTCCCTCACGTGCCTTCACCTAGCCTTTCCAGCTAGAGCCCAATACGATTACTCACTGCGGATTGAACGGGTTAAGTGCAGGCCTGTGCCTCCCTGACCTGGGATGCCCGCTCTCTGGCCCTCAGCTGCCTCCTCCCCAGAGGCCCTGCCCCCGCCGGGCCAGCTCAGGTGTGCCTTTCTTCCTCTGGAGCATTTGTCCGGCCCCATCCCCTCTCCACTCCCACGCAGCCTCAGCACATGCACAGGGCCCTGTACGGCTGGTTTGCTCTGGACGCAACTGTCCTGTCTTCCCCGTGAGGCTGGCACCTCCTAGAGGGCAGAGCCTGGGTCTTACATGCTCTGTACAGGTGAAATAGAACAGGACCCCGCACGGGACAGGGCTGCCGGCGGTGATGGTTTAGAATTCTTTACCCCTCCCCAAATGCTTCCAGAATCTAGAGGGTTAAGGAAGGGCGGCTATAAGGCACGGCCGGCCAGGCCCTACAATAACCCCAGGTAGCTGCGATGCCCAAGGAGGGAGAAGGGCAGTCCCCAAGGGGAGTAAAGGAGGCGAGATCAGCCACCAAGCCTGGGGTCTGCTGACAGCTGGCACAAGGCCCTCCCAGTCTGCCCATCTGAGCACAGAGTCCAGCTTTGGACGCCAGCAACAGATGGGCTTGGGGGTGGTGGCCCGGAGCCAGGGTCAGACTCAGGGTGTCTGTGGGCCACTGAGGGGAGCAGGAGACGCGTACCTTTCTCAGCTTGTCGTACTCAATCAGCTCTGGTCTGTGCCGGTGGATCAGGGCATTGAAAGCAAGACCGTCCTTCCAGCTGGGGATGGAAAGGCCAAGGTTATGAGTAGAGCCCCCCACCGTCATGGGAGGGCTACAGGCTGTGGACACCCATTGGAATGATTAACTCCCACTCAGTGAGGTGGTTTAGAGTGTGTGCCTGGCACTGCAGGCAGACGGTGTGGCCGGCTGGCCGTGAACCTGGCTACTGGAGCCAGACCGTCTGGGGGAAATCCCAGCCCTTCCACTTGCTGTCAGTGTGACCTTGGGCAAGTCCCATAATCTCCTGCTACCTCAGTTGCCACATCTGTAAAATGGGGATAATACAGTACCTACACTTCATTGGGCTGTTGTGAGGATGAAATGAGTAAATATGTGAGGCTTTGGCCGATACTTGACAAATGACAAGTGCTTTGAGTGCTCGTTACCAGGGTAGCTGTGACCTGCTGAGCGCTGTCCCTGCGAGGCCGCACTGAGCCGGGCAGGCCACTGCAGGCCCTCTGCACCTTAGCTGACCTGACCCGTGGGCTGGCTAAATGCCAGGATGTGGCTTGGCACGAGGGGCTCTGTTCAGAGGAAAGTGACAGCTGGTCACAGTCCATACTAGTCACACTGGCTCTTTCATGGGTCAAGGTTAATGACACCTCCGTAGAAAGCACCCCCCCTCCGCCCCCGACTGTGGTACTCTTCCGGTTACTTTCTATCATCTTATCCTACTTGGTCGTCTTTCTATGACTCCTCTCTCTACCTGAAATTACGCTGTTGGTTTCTTCACGCCTTTGTGAACTACTGGTCCCCCTGCTGCGGTGTTACCTTCCAAGCGTGGGGACTTTATTTTGGTGCTGCTGTATTCCCGCTCTTGGCATGGAGTAGGCACTCCATAGACGTGATTGAATAAATAAACGAGTAAGAAATGCACAGGGACTTCCCTGGTGGCGCAGTGGTTAAGAATCCGCCTTCCGGGGCTTCCCTGGTGGCGCGGTGATTGAGAGTCCGCCTGCTGATGCAGGGGACACGGGTTCATGCCCCGGTCCGGGAAGATCCCACATGCCGCGGAGCGGCTGGGCCCGTGAGCCATGGCCGCTGAGCCTGCACGTCCGGAGCCTGTGCTCCGCAACGGGAGAGGCCACAACAGTGAGAGGCCCGCGTACCGCAAAAAAAAAAAACAAAAAAAACAAAAAACCCCAAAGAACCTGCCTTCCAATGCAGGGGACGCAGGTGCGATCCCTGGTCGGGGAACTAAGATCCCACATGCCTCAGAGCAACTGAGCCCGCAGGCCACAGCTACTGAGCCCACGCTCCACAAGGAAAGATCCCATGTGTGGCAACTAAGACCCAATGCAGCCAAAAAAAGAAAAAGAAATGCACAGAGGACCAGCCAGCTGGTGGCAGGAGAAGGAAGGAAACACACAGAGGAGCTCAAGGGAGGGACCAAATGCTCTTAATGGCAGAGCACAATGGTCCCCAACGTCCAGCGCCAGGGCTCCAGGGAGCCTGAGGACACAGCAAGACCTCTGTGGATCCCATGAAGCCCCGTTCTTCACTCCTACGTGTGCCCTCTCCCTGGTCCATCCACCCCAGGAGAACACCAGAGGCTCAGAGAGGTGAGGTCTCCGAGTCACGCCAGATCTGACCTCGGGGCCACCCCCAAAGCCTGCACTCCTAACCCCCGGGCCATGCCACGCTCCCAGATCTTGTGTGGCACTGACCACACTCACCTCACGGACACACTCATTTCCCGCCCTCAACCGAGGAAGAACAGGCTCGTGCAGGCCAAGTCTTGTTCCTCTAGTGCACACAGTACATTTTCCTCAACACCACATTCACTACCAACCGTGAGGACGGCAGGTCCCTCTTGAGAGGTCAAAACAAAGGAAGAGCTTTGTTGTTGCTTCTGAGTTACCTTGCTTGGGGAAAAAGAAGATTCTAGAGGGCCTGCCAGAGTGCCGGGCCTTAATGCCTTTAGCCTGGGACAGCGAGGTGACTGCTGCCTCCCCCAGGGGATGCAGGGACCTTCCCAGGGGCTCACGGGGGCCAGTGGCAGGGGGGAGGGGCCCCAGAGAGCTGGCACCTCACAGACCATGAAAACACCACAGGAAAAGAGAGAGGGTGGGAGGACAGCATCTCAGGTCCCAGGAAGCAGAGTGGGAATGATGTGGGCCAGGTGCTTTGGCCAGCACTCACCTGATGTGGAAGTTCTGCACGTTGACGTTCTTGTACGGGGCCGTCTTTCTCTGGCACCAAAGAAGGAGCCCTTCCTTGGCAGAGGTCTCTGCAAAACACACGAGGATGGTGAGCACTGGCCCAAAACTAAACGCTCAGAACCCAGTCCCAGTGGATCGCACTTTCAGCTCAGGCATAAGGGTCACACAGAACCTGGGGGAGAGGCCCTCGGACGGAGCAGCAGCAGTGCCCCTTCCAGATGCGGGCGGGCGCCTGCTGATCCTAACAGCACACCAGGCCCCAAGGAGCAGTCCCTTGCCGGGGGTCACGCCAGAAGTGGCAGTGACAGGCCAGTGTGAGGGCCTGAACCCGGCGCCATGTTTCTGACCCCAAAGCCTGTGCCTTTAGCTGGCAGGACACACTGCCAAACAAGCCCCCGATGCGGGCCTTGGCCTCTTCTGAACAAGGAGCATGAGCGCCACGCCTGCCCAATCAGGGTCTCCAGATCTGGCTGCAGCTTCGAGGAAGCGGGGAGGGAGGGCCCCAGGAGGTCCCTCCGTTCCCCGTGGAAAGCTCTGACTGTCCTCAACACACTGGGAGTGCTACACACAGGGAGCACATCTGTCTGGTCACTGTTGTGGCCTGTCACCAGGAGCCCCCTCTGCACACTGGCCCTGTGGCTTTTCTCATCTGTGGTGGCCTGGACCAACCCCAGGTCCATGGAGGCCAAGGTCCGAGGGTGGGAGGCTGAGTGGAAACGTAGGTGCTGACGCCCAGGAGAATGAGGCCAGGCCTGACTCTATCACTATTTTGCTACTTGACTGTAAAATGGGGCCAATCATGCCCACTTGACAAGGGTGGTGTGAGGGTCCACTGAGATGGGCGGCTGCAGGGGGGACCCTTCACCTGCAGCCTGGGCCAGCACCTCTACTAACCACCCCCAGCCAGGGCACGTGAGTGATGTCTGGACACAGGAAAGAGCCTCAAAGCATGAAGACAAAAAGCCCGAAATCCTAACTAAGTCCCCCCAACTCGGGTGGAACCAGGGGGGGAGGAAAGGCTGTTCTTTGCCCGTGAGCAGGTCCTTGGCTCTCACCTTCCACAGAGATGTCCTGGATGGCGAACCTGAGGATGATGGTCCAGATCATTCCCAGGGTCATCTTTGCGTTGCCGTCCACAATCTCTGCACACAGGGAAAGGGGGCACAGGGCAAGAGAGTTGTTAAAACCAGAGTGGGACTCCCCAGGCGGCCCCCGGCCCTGTCTAGAGATTAACTCCAATCATCTGAAAGAGCTGCCTGGGCCTGTCTCCACCACCTTCACTGGGAGATGTCCCCTGAACACTCCGGGAAGTGCTGTCCCTAAAGCCTTCTGCTGCCTGGCACCTTCGGGCTTCCATCCCTGTGTATTCTCAGCCACGCAGGCCTCTTCCTCTCTGGGCAGCTCATTCTCTTGACCCAGCTCAATGGACTGCTACCCGCTGAGCCTCGTCCCAGGTGTTGGGCCTCCGTTTCCAGGACCCACCACACCTCATGGGCATGTATCTTGAGAGTCTGCCCACTTCCTTCCAATCCCGCCGCCTCCACCTTCGTCCGAGCCACCATCGTCTCCCTCAGATCCTCACGTGCTGCCTCCTCCATCCCCACTGTGATCCACCCCACGCAGCAGGCAGGGTGGTCACTGGAACAGGTGCACTGGATTTGTGTCGGTCGCCTGCTTTGTGTTCTGGAGTCTGGCTTACAAGGCCTGCCCTGTGTGACTCCCGCCTCCCTCCCCAGCATTCTCCAGCTCCGTCCTCTCGACAAGCCGGCTCTCTCTTGTTTTAAGGATCTCACACCTTCTGGCCCGCCACAAAGCGCACGCCTCGCCCCTTTCCTCAGATGGCTGGTCCTTCCCAGCCTGTAAGGCTCTGCTTACATGTCACCTCCCCAGAATGGCTTCCCTGACCGTCCCAGTGTCTCTCTCCCCAGCACCCTGCTCTTCTCCTCACACACTGATATGTGCTGGTTTGTCTACTTGTTCACTGTCTGCCTTCGTGATCACCTCTGCACCCCCAGCACCTGGACCCGGCCCTTGAGAAACATATGGTGCTGCAGGAAGGGGAGAGCGGGTAGCACAAGGTCCAGCTGATAAGTGCGTGCTTTCTTAACTAACCGAAAACCAGCCACTCTCCCAAACTTCTGGGAGTGAAAGAGAAGGGTTTGGACCACACGTTCTTCAGCTTCAGCAACTTAAGAAAAAAACCACTTCTGCAACGCTCAGGCACCGTGTGTCTTCAGCCAGGTGAGGGAGGTGCATGCAAGCAGCCTCTTCCTGGGGCCCATGGGCCCAATGCGCCTTTGGCGGTCCTCTCAGGCCTGCCACCCCCGCACCTCTCACACACCGGATGCGGGAGAGAGGATGCAGAGAACGGAGGGGACACTTCAAGAGAGCCTGCTCACCGGCTTCGAGAACAGAAAACTCTAGGTGGGCTTGATCTGGGAAGGAGGCACGATGGTCCCCCAGAGGATGGGGCCCAGCCTTCCCCGAGGACATGCTCGCTAGGAAAGGGTGGGTGCTCTTTTAGCCACTGGAGAGGCTCCCCACAGCGAAGCCATGGGCTGACGGCCGAGGGCAGCTCTCGGCTTGAGGGTTTCAGGAGAGGAGATATGCGTAGCTGGCCATCTGGAAGCAGGGGAAGGACATGTTGTCTGTCCAGCTCTCTCCCAGGGCTAAGAACCCCCACGGCCGGAAACGAGGCCGAGCCTTCCCAGTGTGGGGTGAGGGCGGTGATTCATTCAGGAAATCTATGCTGCGTTCCTCCCGAGGGCCCGGCACCCCAAAGCCGGGGACGGACACAAGCTGGAGAGGAGGCCGCAGCACCCATACCCAGCCGCTGCCATGAGCAAGCTGGTCATGGAGGACTCAGAGAGTCCCTGTGAGGGGAGGAAGATGGCCGCTCTCATGACACATCCACCAGCTGCTTCTTGGACCTGCAGCTGTGCCTCCGACTCCCAACCCCTCTCACAACCCCCACGAGGAAGCCATGTTCCTGCAACTGCCTAGATGGTGTGGAGGGACAGGGAGCTGGGGGCGGGCGGGGACTGGGGCGCTCAGGTATCCCAAAGCCCTCGGAACGGCTCCAGTCGGCTGTCCTCCAGAGGCCCGATGGCCACGGGGATTGGGAGTGAAACAGCTTGGGCATGAACGGAAAACATTTTTAGACTGAGTTTTTCTCCAGATGAAAACTGACGACTGCCACGGGTCTCTCCTCTAACCCCTTCTGTATTTCCAGGCTAGCATCTGAGCAAAATAAATGCAGCTGTGAGAAGCAGAAGGCTGGAGGGGAGCCAGGAGGAAAGATCCGTGCAAGAACAGAAAATCTCAGGGTCTGATTGAGTTCAGGGTTTTGATTTTTTTTTTTTTAAGCAAACACCAACCACCTCAACCGTGGCATGCGAGGCTTGGCAGCCCTCCCTGGAGAGGTCCCGGGTTGGGGCAGAGCTTTGGAACGCGGGATGTGCATTCTGGCCTGGAGCCTTGGCCAAATTCTCAGAGCCCTGTCATTAGCGGCAATTAGTTTTCTTTGTTTTTCTAAAAGCTGGGACAACATGGATATGGGGGTGTAGGAAACCCTGCTCTGATTAATGACCAGAACTGGGAGCCCAGGCTGATGGGGAGCTTCTGGGCTCTGTCAGGCCTCGCCTGGTCTCCAAAGGCGTCTGTGAGACAAGAGCCTGCACTGGAGGGAGGGCACGCCGTTGCTCTAGGGAGGGCTCGGAGACAAGGGTCACAGTTCCAGGTACCTGCACAGGGCCCAGAGGATCCTGGGTATTCTGTCAAGAGGCCACACTCTCCCAAGCTGTGCAGCCAGCAAAGTCTGCTCACTGACCTTTGGACTTATACTCCCTGCCCCAGAGCCCCGACACCGGGCCTCAAGCACCCTCCCCTACTCTGAGCCCTCCTGCCTGCAGACGCCAGACAGGGCCTAAGGGCGAAGGTGCTGCTGGCTCAGAGAGATGCCGTGTCACGTGTCGGTCTGTGTCCCTCAGGCCCGGCACCAGGAGGGCGAGTGAGGGTGTCCGGGGTCCAAGTCAAAGCCATTCCTCCCCCCCGTGCCCCTCATGACCGGGTGAGCTGGATTTCCTGGTCTTGGGCTGGATTATCCTTTGGGGGAAGGGAGGGAGGTCTGTGGGCCCAGCATCACATCAAGGGCAGTCACTGTGGTCGCTGCTTGGTGTATCTGGGCTTTAAGCACCCCCAAGTGCTCTCTCTGCCACCAACACAACTTCTGTTCCCAAGGCAGAGGTCGGGCCCCGTCTGAGCTCACCTTCCGCCCCAATGGAGACCAGCTTGACTCCTTTGCTGGCGATGAAGTCCAGTGCCTTGTTCACATTGTTGATTTTGTGCACTCTCATCTTGCCCCGCTCCGGCTTAGGTAACCGCTCCCCTGAGGGCCGAACACCGAGAAAGAGAGGGAGAGGAGCTTCAGGGTCCCCGCTGCTCCCCAGAACAGGCCCATGCCGGCGCAGTGCTGCTGCAGCTGGTAAAGGCCTCGCTCTTCCCTGAGCAGCAATGGGACGGTGGGGTGGGCAGCATCCCGTGGGCGCCCGCAGGAGGGGGCCTCACCTGAAATGACCTCCAGGAGGAGCATGAGCTTGAGCCCGTCTCGGAAGTCCTCGTCGATGTTCTCGATCTGCGTGCCGGCCTTCCTCAGGTGGGAGTTGCACCAGGCTGTGAAGGTCTGGGGAAGCAGAGGAGAGCATGGCTTGGAGGGTCGGCGTGCTCGTCAGGGCTCTCCAGCAAAAGGGCCGGGTCACAGCCCTGACCCCGCGACAGCACGGCTGCCACGGGGCCCTTGCTCAGGGCCAGGTCCTGGGCCCCACCTTTTATCAACACTGACACTCTTT